ATCAGACGATACTAAGTTGAATTCTGATCACTCCAAACAACAAAAATAAAATTTCAAATATTTTAAATTTGGCAAGAATATAGTTTTGTGCCTAAGTCAACCTTATCCTTTCACTAATGCTCAAAATTCTTTGTTTCATACCACCAATCTACTTGCCACATCATATAGTGCTATGATTGTTTCCTGTATAAAGAATAGTTTTATTTCACAATCAAGTGGCACTAGGACATATTTATGGGGGTGCCTGTAAAATATGAAATGATGACACCAGGGTATTGGTTAGCGACTCATACACGCTAACCATCATATTATGATAAAGGTTGGCATTATTTTTAAAGGATAGGCATGTGAAAGGAGAAAATAAATCGACTCTTCCGAAATTCCACTTCAGAATGTACAGATTTTTCCATCGATATTTTGTCATATTACGGACGTCTTCAATTATAACATAAGAAATGCATTTATGCGTTCATATTTTTCTCTGTGTGTGTGTCCCTGGAGAAATATTAATGTGAATAGTAAACGTCAAGAAATTTTAAAGAATGTGTTTTAGCGTATAGACATGTATATAAATGTATTTCTGAATAAATCTTTCAATGGAGCTTACGTATATTTTTTTCAGATTTTTATATAAATCTTGTTGTTTCTTTTATATCTGAGAAGAACAGGATTAATTCTTTTAAATATATTTTATGAACTTTTTAGGCAAAATAAGAAAAAGAAATCATTTTTTAAAACACGACTCACATAAAAATAATAAAGCCAACTTATTTAACAGATCAAAAGTGTTTATGAAAAGCGGTGTATAATGATATGCCTAACTTGAATATCATGATACTAAATCATAGGTTTTGCCTGGGCTCAAACAGCAACCTCTAGCACTGATGAGATATAATGATTTATGATGTACGCTATTAAAATGTATACAATCATATCTAAGACAAAGCTGTATCAAGCGTAAAGCGTCTCCACAGCCGCGCATAAAATATCAAAAAGCAAGAACCAACATCTTGGAAAAGTCTAACGTTAACATAATAAAGAAAAAGACAAAATTCGATTTATTTATCGTGAAAATCTTTCAGACAAGATTCTTGATTTTTTTTCTTTTTTCATTTTGTATTAATTCAGAAAATGTTAGTTTTCCAAAATCTGCTGCCTGATAAACGACACCTTATTTAGTTTACGTACAAGGCTTGCTTGTTTCCATTTGAGGCTTCTGGAAAAAATTACACGCAAAGAACATCAACTTGTTCAGAAAAGCGAGTTTCAGTAAATGTGTTTAATTTTCAAAGGAAGGGTTAATAATTTTGAAAGTGTCATTTGTATACTGAAAATCACTGAATACATGGCTCAAAAGTCAATCAAGTTAGACTGTTACTGTAAAAATAGTTATAATGAATGCGGTGTGAAGTAGAAATGAAAGTGGCAGTAGTAGGAAGTGAAGATTATGAGGACAAAGAGGATATACATGATACAACAGATATACTTCCCGCATAATGCTAAAACAGTAAGAAATTTATAATGGCAGGCATTTCTGACGCACCCTGTATAATGATTGACATTACCTTAAAGAGGTTAAGATTGGAGTGTTCATCGGAATATCCATGCTGGAATGATTCTACAAAGGATCAATTCTTGGGAAGAAAAAAAAATTGTGCGAAGCTTTCACCATACAATACAGGGGAAATGAGTGTGATTCAGTTCTGTGGAAATAGCATGACTTATCCTAGTTGGAAAAGTGTGAATTTATTAAGCTAAAGAATGAAGCTCGTCGGAACATTTGTCATAGAAATAGCGACAGAGTAGCGATAGGCATGAGTCATTACGTCCATAATGATGAGACTGCAGGGAGGAAAACAACTAATAACCAATAAAATGTTATGAATCATTTCGATCTCTATCATTATGTGAAAGTAAGGATTGCTTTCGATTGAAATTTATAAAATCTATCCCTTAAAACAATTTTTTGAAAAATTTTTTTTTAAGTGTAGTTGTTGTTATCGCTCCTTCCAGTATTGATGGTGTTTCCTTCCTAGCCTTTTATTTCAAGTATTGTAGAATGTCAAAATCTTTTTATGTCACTTCGAGTTACTAAATGCCATCCATCTTAGTTCTTACTGCTGACAGTAGTCCTCAAGTGATGTGGTTTCTGTTATTTGGTACAGTTCTTTGTAATTCTGTAGCGCCAGTCCACAATGTTCCAAAAAAGATTTCATTCGCCTTTTTTCGTCAGTGATCTTAGAAAGCGGTTGTGTACAATTGAGAGTATTGATATTTCTAACCGGGTTTGGCGTCATGTATGATATCCATATGTTCACACACAAAAGGAATAGTCTTGTTAAACTGATTATAGCGTTCCGACTTCAAGAAAAGAAGGAACAAAATATGGCGGATAAGAACGAGAAGGGGCTCATTTCTATTGATTAGGAAGCAATCCCAGCATGCATCTGTAGGATTTGTCTATACATTTGGGCAGGGAGATGTTTTTAGCAGCCATTCCTACATGGATTAGTACCAACAGAATCGTTTATCGAAAAATTAATAACTCAATGACGAAGTTTTGATGATGAGACCAAAAAAGAACACTTGTATTTAGAATAAAAAAAGACAGTGGAAATTTTAGGGAAATGTGAGGAAAGAAAGCTTGGAAAATTTGATATGTCACAGAGAGGGCCAGAGGGAAAGAGCACGCAACCTAACTAGAAATCTTGTGTAAATGGATGGCAGAAGAGTAACTGGGAAGGGTACTAAGCGGACACATATTGGTTAGAGCTACAAATGATGGGAAGTTGTTGGTTCATGGCCTAAAGGAAACACACACATGAAAGAAAAATAAATGTATAAGCCAATATCGACAATATAAACACCTGTGTAAGTGTATGTATACTAACAGGTTTCATTATTGTGAATAATTCATTCATTTTATTAAATAATCACGTAGATGTAAGCAAGTGTTTTAATCTTCCAATAGACATTAAATAAGAATAAACTAGAAAGAAAAACAAAACAAAAACAAAACAAAATCTTGTGACCTCTGTGATAAAATTCGGAAGCTTTCGAATAGATAGTAATTGATTATCAAGTAAATAAACTAGCTGATATTCATCACGTGATATCCAGATAATTACATATTGACGAGCCACTCTTAGCCAGTAAACTTCTACAGGTCACTACGCAAACAAATTTGAGTTTATAAATTCTGTTAGAACCTCGAGAGACCATTTCTTTGCTCTGTCACCTCTTCAATCTCTCAATAAATAAATAAATATATATATGTGTGTTAGAATGTAATACAAAAATCAAATAGCGCCCGCGCGCGCACGCACACACACACACACACTCATATATATATATATATATATTTATTATAATAATTTTCATTTGAAAAATATGATTCCATCGCGACAGAGAAAATTTCCATGTTTCCGTGTATCGGATATCTGTACAGAGATTGGAATCATCAAGCTGAGTTCAAGTTGCAGGTTCGTCTGTTGCGTCCACTTTCATAGAAATCTCTTTGAAATAGCACAGATTCGTTTCTTCTATCCTCATATTTGAGTTAAATATCAAAGTGACATGGGTTATCTAGCTTTGAATAGCAAACAATATCAAAGAAGAAATTCTGCCATGAAAAAAAGGGATATTAGGAAACCCATGAAGGCAAACGTTTTGAAAAAACATGGCGTTATACATCAAAAAGGAATTTTTTACCAGTTCCATTTAATCTTGAACAAATTGTAAGCTTTATTCTATATAAAATAATAATGCATTTTATTTGCGTAAAATATAGACAAAAATTTCGACATTTTTCTAAAATCGAGAACAATAACCTTGTAGAGAACCGTGTGGATTTGTGTATTGTTGAATTAGAAACAGGTGCGTTTATTCCCTGCTAGAAAAAGGACCAACTACAAGAAAATGGAGGACTCAAATTAAGTCCAACTGAAGATGTAAAGAAAACAAACAAGACCGATATATATATATATATATATATATATATATATATATATATATATATATATATAAAAATGGGAAACGCTATCTTTTGCGAAAGCTCACATTGTAGATGTGTTCGCTGAAATGAAGAAATGAAAAAAGAGAACGAGGCAAGAATTTGTCCAGTATTTATAGTGTGGGAGAGAGACCCCTAGTGAATAAATAGGGAATTAAGGAGGAGGTAACTCCAACAACCGGTTAATCTCTTTACTTGAATGACATTTAACGCTCAAAGGTTTTATGCAATAAGGCAGCATTTTCAATAAATTCAATCCCGAACAACATAATAATGTTATCGTTAGTCTAGAATAAAGTTTCCAACAGTAGTAAGGACATTGTTGAAATTATTGTTCACGTGGCAGACATATGCATCTGATTAATTTTGTATTTAATTTACAGTTAAAAGATAAATGTTGTGATGATATCAGCGTTTACACGCCTTTTAACGCAATGATAACTTCTAATAACGTGTTAGTCAAGAAGCTATTATGGTGATACAAATGCGTCAGCTTTAAAACCCATTAATCATTCTCTGAAATCATTACCTGTCATATAATACGGAGGAAGATTTTTTTTTCAGGGAAATTTGCTCATTATATAATAACTGATAAGCCAACTAAAGCGAAAAAGGACCAATCATCACGGTAATAAAAATAATGACATGAAATTAATAACAGAAAACTGCGTAATAATATAACCGCAAAAACGAAATTTTCAATGAAGAAAATAAATGTTTTTTTTTAAGCTTTTACATTTTAACGCAATTCTGATTTATATTTTGCAGATATTTTTTTAACGTGGGCTTTCATCGTTTATTTATTGTTTACTGCCATTTCGTCTTATTAATATAATTAAGCACAAATTCAAGACGAAAAAGAAGCAGCACAAGCAAACAATCCAGAAAAAGTAGACGCAGCAAACACACAAGAAGAAAAAAGAAACAGCATCATATGCTCAAGGGGTAGAAGAAGCAAATACTCAAGAAAAAAGAGGAAAGAGCTAACACTCAAGAAGAAAAAGAAGCATCAAACACTCAAGAAGAAGAAGCAGTAAACACTCAAGAGGAAGAAGAAGCAAACACTCAAGAAGAAGAAGGAGCAAACACTCGAAGAAAAAGAAGCACCAAGCACTCAAGAAAACGAAGAAGAAGAAGAAGAAGAAGAAGAAGAAGAAGAAGAAGCAAACACTTAAGAAAAAGAAGAAACAAACCCTCAAAAAGAATAAGATGAAGGAGGAAACACTCAAGAAGAAAAAGTCGCATCAAACATTCAAGAAATTGCAAAAACTGAAGAAGAAGAAGAAGAAGAAGAAGAAGCAGAAGCAGTAACAACTAAAGAAAAAGAAGGCGCAGCAAACACCCAAGACGAAAATGAAGCAGTAAACACTCACTTAAGAACAAGAAGAAGAAAAAGAAGAAAATTCTCAAGAAGATGCAGTAAACACACACGAAGATGAGGAAGAAAAAGAAACAAACAAGAAAGAAAGAGAAGAAGAAAATCGTCAAGAAGAAGCAAACAAGGAATACAACAGTAAAAACTGAAAAAGATTGAAAAAACAATAAAACATAAAGAGCGTGTATAAACCTAGGAAACAGAACAAAAACAAAAAACAAAAAAAAAAAAACGGAGAAAGAAAAAGACATGGAAACAAAAAAAGATTACTTTCTCTTATTGAAGTTTTTTTTTTTCTGGCGGAGTTATAAATTTTACTTACAATGCCATTCTCAAATCGTCATATTCTGTATGAAAATTGAGTATACAATTGGTACCATTCCTCAATCGATGTATTTCTTGCTAATCGATAGTATTCGATCGATTTTGTAACACCGAATATTACTCGTCATTTGTCATTTTTGACAGCCGATGTCTGGTTTACCAAGAGACAGAAGTAAAATTGGGCTGAATGCCATATTTTAAATTGTTCGTGCGAGGAGACAGGGTGCGTCAGGTGGAAATAGCAGTGGCATGAAGAGAAACGATCAGTAGATAAAAATGTCCATTTACACACAAAATATAATATGAACATGGTCATAACTATAACCATCGTTATCAAAAATAGTGACAATAGCAACATTATATTCATAGTTGACAAATGAGAAGAAGCAGCAGCTCAGTCAGGTATAGTTCTCATGGTTTTTGATAATAATTGATTGGAAGTATTTAATCACCTAGACAAAATGTGTACATGTTATGATGGAGTGGAAATATCCCGTTCAGTAGCACAGATTTGTTTTAAGTTTGAATGATAAGGAAGCCAAATCGACTTCGGCGTCACATCCAAATACTTAAAAAATGCCCTCACCCAGAGACCGTCTGATTGAACTGTTACCCGTAACGGAGTTATTTCTAACTTTGCTCCAGGGGATGCACTGCTTTATCAAGTAATTTCACCATATCACGCATGTTTGCCTACGATGCATGTGCTTGCTATATCCATCAGACTGGTTGTCACAAAGGTTATATAAGAGCTTCATATATACGTTGCGTCGGGGTACTTCGACGTGGTGTAATGATTAGCAAGTTTGTCTTGCTAGATGAATTACAAGTGAATAGTGAGCTCGATCCTCGCTGGGTACTTCATACTTTTGCGCTTGTGCCACACCTAACTTGTACTTAGTTAATCACTATATACGAGACAATTATTCTCACAATAAACACCTTTGCACATTTATAAATCTGCCATTTGTCCGTGCATTGAATACTACTGCCATATCTGGTCTGGTGCTCCTACTACGTATCTTGAGATTATTGACAAAATTCAACGAAGAATTTGAGAGTTCCATTGTCGGGAAGTGCGAAAAAAGAAACTGTTTGAATAGAAGTGGCGGTTACATTTAACTATTTCAACAGTAAACGGCTGGACCCGAGATGCCAATCTAGTAGCACGCTTAAATTCATGTAGTTAAGGCATCAGGAACAAAAGCTCGTCAGAATATATTTGTCAATAAGACAAAGGGAAGCCACACCACGTTTGTGAGAAAGTGACTGAAGTCGAGATGTCAACTTAGAATCGATTATATTACAGATCCTTCTTTGGATTTTGTCGAGAACCTCGAAATGAACAGCAGGGGCACCAGACCAGATATGGTAATAGTATTTAATGCATGGACGAATGGTAGATTTGTTAATGTGCAAGATGGACTCTGATGAGAAAAAAAAAAGCCTTCAGGCACGACACAATGAACCAACTTTCCTTGCAGTAGATGCAGCTATTGATTCAATGTAGTTGTTCTATTTCAAGTCGGTAGATATTAACACGTATATACTTTATCACGGTGAGTTAAGTTCGGCTACAATAAATATGTCATTTAGGTCAACAAATTTACTTATCAGCTGATTGTCTTGACCGTAACCAGAAGAAATGACGCCATAAACATCTCTGATCATAAATGATGAGGCAGCCAGTGCCACTTGGGAGTCACAACTAAATAGTTGGAATACCATCAGAAAGAGACTAGAGCGAACTAGGTTACTTGACATGAAGGTATTTCGAAATGAACATCACTTGCAATGTTATACGCGGCTTTTATGAAAACCTGTCGCCATATCACACACACTTGGCTGTGATGTTTGCCCCTGGTATACCCTTATTAGACTGAGAATCATGATAGCATATTCAACTTTGTATATACTTTGTGGGTGTAAGGCTCTCTCGTTTCATAGTAATTATAATAGTAATTATAATAGGTTTAACAGTTATAATTATAATAATTATAAACATAATAATAATAATAATCCTTATAATTATAATCATCATAATAATTATAATCTTCATAATAATTATAATCATAATAATTATAATTATAATAGTTATAATTATAATAATTATAATCATCATAATAATTATAATTATCATAATAATTATAATAACCTGAACAGATAGAAAGATCAAAAAACTTATCGCAATATATAAAATGAATCATGCCATGTACATAAGAAAGTGGAGATAGAAGCAGCAACTGAAATGTTCGCAATGGAGTGTTAAATTAGCGAAACTTAAGACAAACATCGCTAAATATTAAGTGAGAAGAAGCCTGATATTGACTATGCTCTGGAATGAAGCCTGATATTGACTATGCTCTGGAATGAAGATCGGAATGGGGCTGATCGTACCAGCTGAAGATCAAAGCTTGCAAACAATATCCTATTAAGCATATATTTTAAAGAATCGAACATATCCAATGTCTTTTTGTATATACACTGAGGTGAATTGATCATCTAATACCCGGATTCTCTCTCCATGCAATAAAATTCACCAAGCTGCATGATAGGGTCAAGCAATATCTTCACACGCAGGCATGTCAACATTACAAACCATTTCTTCCAGAAAATAACGGGTTACTATACATGATAGTTGCACTACACAAGCTAGTATACTATATAACGAATCTACGAAGGGCGTAACTGCCGTGTTATAGACATGACAATCTCATCTGATAAAAATATTTCAGTGAAAGAATTTGATAAACCCTCCAGATATATGTGTCTGGAAAAGAAATGGCAAGAATGTGACATTTAAACCAGTATTATTCCAGTATATGTAGAGGTAAAACTGATTAAAAATACTGACACATACGTTAAGAAAATCTCAAGAAATACAATACTTATGATCAAAAAACAACCTTAAATTGTTACATTTATTTCACCGCCACTCGTAGCTTAACTTACCACTTCTTTAATGTTCACACAGTTCGGGCATATAACGATAATCCTACTATAATCAAAGACAAATATTAGTAGGTAATATCAAAATGCTATTCAAAATATCAATTTAAAAGACTTTAATTAAAGAAAAGAATAAATTTGCATTAAATACAATACATCTGTTACATTTCAAAATGTGTATATAATATTACATTTTCGTCATCTAGTGATGACATGGATGCATGTTGTGATATCAAGTATGGCACATAAGTGACATACTGCTGATAATCTCTGTGAAACTTTACTACACTTGACATACCTTATCTTTACTCTAACATTTGCAAAAAGATGTCAGACCGAAGCTAATAAAACTTTTGTGTCTATGACATTAGGTTTCTTGATAATTGCTCAGCTAATGATAATTATCAGGAATTACTAATGAGTGAAAGTAATCGAATAAAAATATTCAATTCGGCTAGTTGGAACATTTGAACTAGATACACGACAACTTATTCCTTAATTAGGAAAATATATTTAAAGATTAAACAAAACATAATTTCTGACTGAAATTCTGGGATGAAGATTTATTTACACTTTTTATATTCGGACTATTATCCGCATCTTTGTTGTTGACAGCAGTTGCAACACCAATCAGCATATAGATTAGGTTTAGGTCTCCAAATCCATTACAGCGAATTGTCCTACGAGACAATAGCCTCGTGGATTAAAGCTTTGGTTCATAAAATTTGACGAATTCTGTCCATTCTTAATCAAGTGGATAATTGTTCAGTCAATCTGGCACAGATATCACATTGTACCTCTTCCGTTTTAGAGCCTAGTTTAGACTACTATTTTCCAACTTATCTTTTGCGGCTCCATTCCGAAGACATGTAGAAAAGGTAGTGCTATTTTTGTATTTATTTGTAAATATTTATTTATTGGTAAGTTGAATCTCTTTCCTCTTCTGAAATGTTATTTTAGTTATATAAAATCTTGGTCTTGATAATGAGCACTTCGTTTCTCTATAGATTTTAAGCTAATCCGGGACATATATGACAGATTAAGAATAAAAGATAAAAAATAACAACAAGCTCACATAGAACACGAGTTTTTCCTTAAGAGCCAATTAAGCACAAAGACTCAATTAAGACGAAACACGAATTACGTGTGTGTCTCTTTTTTAATCTCATTCTGTCATCTGACTTTACATGTTCTATAATTTGATAAGAATTATATTCAGACATTAATTAAGCTTGTAAAATATCATTTGGATAATTTGGCCGACCCCCCGCAGCATTCATACAATTTGCGCGAATATTGATAGGCTGGGATGTTTCTATACATTTCGATATTTAGAGAAAAGTTTAAGCAGGGTTGCATGAACAGATACGCCTTAATGGGTTTGCTCAAGCGTTATATTATTGTGTAACCGTCGCATTGACAATGTCCAAGCGAAAGGATTCTGTACGTCTCGTGCAAGATTATTTTAATAAATGCAATAAAAACGAACATATTAAAATCAAATAAAGAAATGAACAGCACAATTTTATAGATATCATAAAGAGGTAAATTGAAAAACAGAAAAGTTAAAATTGCCTATATATATATATATATATATATATATATATATATATATATATATATAGATATAAAAGTATAACATGAAATCAACACTTAAGAGGCATATCTGTTTCATATGTCAAATTTGTTTAACGTCACCTGACGATTGCATATATGTTATAACGTCACCTGATAGTGTTGATTATATATATATATTATATATTATATATTTACACGCTATATCTCTGATATTGAGCACTTTATTCCATAAATATAGCATAATTTAAGACTATATTTCTTTATATATATATATAACTATATATATATATATATATATATATATATATATATATATATATATATATAGAGGGATTTAGAGAGAATATGGGGAATGGCCAAAATAACAGGCGGAATACTTACTGATACGTGTACATCATTA